GTTAAAAATACTGGTAGAGAATGCTATCCATCAAAAGAAGAAAGAACAAAGAAAAATAAATCCCTGTATACCTTCGCATAAAAACTTGGTTGACTGGCCAAAAACAAAAAGGTGGCAATGAAGGATCATCTCTAGAAAAAGTATTCACAATTAATATTAGCAAAGTGAACAAAAACAATGCATCTGATTTTTCCACTAAAGTAGAAATGTCTCTTAATGGAACTGCCTGAGAGCAAACACATAATTATTTATATTTTCTTTAAACCATGTGAGCAGTTGGATTGCCTATGTTATTTATTATACTGAATCTCCAAATTTCTTCAGCATTGTTTTAGATGAATATCAAATCTCTGTGAATTGTTTAGTTAATATATAATTAGATTTTTAATATTTCTTCAGAAATTTGTTCATATTATTGTTTATGTGTCCTAATGTTAAAAACTATTAGGATGTGTATGAGTACAGGCTCAATCTACCCTTGCTTTCCCCTTACCAAATTTCCCATGCTCCTCAATCTACCCTTGCTTTCCCCTTACCAAATTTCCCATGCTCCCTATAAATCTCAAAGTTATTGTCCAACTAAATTCTACAAGTTGTCCTAATACACCCAGTTTTTGCCTCCTACCTCAGTGTTACTATTGTCAATATAGCTGCATGTAGCTAAATTTTTCATCCAATCCCCACCCTATTTTACATTCATGCCTTATATGTCCTTGAAGTGCCCTTGCCTCCATATACACCACACAGAGTGCATACTCCCACTTGCTTTCTAGTTTTAAACCAATTTTGATTAAATTATGCTTATTTTATATTTTAATTATGTGTGTAAATGTCATCTCCCTTAGCAAAATACAAATTTTAAGGTGATGTCTACCTCTAATAGAGCCTAATACAATGCATGGTGATACAATAAAATACTTGTAAAAAGTCTGATGGGATTGAGTCTTTAATTTTCATTTATTTATTTTAGGTTTTAAAAAACTCATAAAACTGGTATTTACCAATCATAGGTATGCACAATAATGACATCCATTCATCCATGATGCCCAGATCTACTCACAGAACCTATGAAAATATTAGGCTGAATTGCAAAGAGAAGGTGACTATCAGCTGAACTCAAATTAGGGTGAATATATTAGATTATCTGACATACTCATGTAATCACAGAAGTCCTCAAAGAGAAAAACTAAAATAAAACAAAAGCATGAGGGAGAAGCATCCATCAAATAAAGCAACAGAAGGCAACCTGGGTGGTTTGAAAGATGAAGAGGCCCTGGAGTTCAGGACAGTTGGCAACCATAATCAGCTGGAAAGACAGGTATGGAGTTTTCCCTAGAGCTTGAATGAAAGAATAAAAATCTGTCAACACCTTGACTTCACCACAGGGAGGGCAACACCATATTCTATACAAGTGTAAGATATAAAATTTGCACTACTTTAAGCTATTCAGTTTGTGGTGAATTGTTGTAGCAGCAATAGAAGACTAATACATTAAGAAATTATTATTGCTAATTATTGGACATAAATTTTAAAATGCAGATGACCTTTTTCTATCTTTTTCTATCTTTTTCTATCAACAAAAGCCACATGATCATCCAAAACATTCATGTAATCAAGTGAAGAGCTACTCTAAATATTTAACGAAATCATTATAAGAAATACAAACATGTATTAAGTACAAAGATTTTCTTTAAGGAACTTGGCATCTGCTCCCAGCAAGAAGCCACATACACAATCAACAATAATACAGACAAAAATTCAGTTGGGAAAAAAAATGCTAGAGGGTGGAAAAAGATGCCTAAAAAAGAGGTATTGAATTAGGTAGTTTATGAGTGTCTGAGAGACAGCATGAATCACAAATAACAGAATATAAACATCAAACTTAGAAGACAAAATAAGGAGAGACAATTGAGAACAACTTCTAAAGATTCATTCATTGACAGGTTAAAACATCTAAAATAATCTGAATCATTTGTTGATATAATAAATAGTCCATGGATCTTTGTTATTAAAAATCCATTTTTGCAAACATATTCTTATCAAAACAAAAGAGCATGAAATGAAGATACTCTCTCAAATACAATTTGTGTTTTGATTCTCCAACTTCAAATCTATTGGTATATATACTTGATCTCTTAGTAGAATTCAGTAAGTAACGTTAGTACCACATTACAATGCATTTAAAAATACAGCAGGCAAGAATCATTTAAAAAGTGTTCCAGCTGGACATGGTAGTGCACACCTATAATTCCAGAGGCTCTGGAGGCTGAGGAAGGAGAATCAAGAGTTCAAAGCCAAGCTTCATCAACCTAGCAAGGACTTAAACAACTCAGTGAGACCCACTGTCTAAATAAAAGAGCAAATGGGCTAGGGATGTAGCGCAGTGTTTAAGTTACCCTGGGTTCAAATCCCTGGCGCCAAAAAACAAATAAATAAGTAAATAAATAAATAAATAAAAATAAAAAGTACTCCAGCTTTCTCAGTGACTTCAGAGCACCATGGCAACAAATCCATAACACCTATATGAGCATCAATGACTCTAAAGGAGTTCTTAGTGAATGAGACTAAGTAAAATCTTCCTCAAGCTCCTATACCAAACAATAACACAACTTCATAAACCTAAGAAAAACACAATCTACAAAGGCTGTAAAACAAATTTAAATTAACATATCACAAATGTTAATTGTAACACAAATACATATGTAAAATTAAATTTGCCTTTCAGAAACAGTCATTTAAAATAATTGAAATGTAATGATTTTGATAGCATTATATTTAGTCTGCACTTGAGAAAGATGCAGTTTTATCTTCTGGCAGTGCAGAAGTTATGCTAAAGCTAATTATGCAGTAATGATTTTCCAGTTGAATGATTAGGGTTAAAAATTATGCTTCACTTACAGATTTCTATTTAATGAGAAGTTTGCAATGAAATACTGAAATTTAGGCTCTGTTTGTTTACCTGAATCACAGACTCTGCCAACTGTGTTTCATCCACTTCCAATATCATCGTTTTTATTTCCTCATATGGCACCCGAAGAGAGCTCAGAAAGATTGCTGAGAGAGGAAAAAAGGTTCATAATGAATAAGAAAATGAAGAAATTTGAGATGAAATTCTATTTATAAGATCAAGTATAAATTCATAAAGAGAGAACTTATTCCTTTAGGATAGTTATCATGGGGGAGGTGGCTTTCATTAGTAGATTTTATGTTCTCTAAACTTGTAGAACTAGGATTTAAACAATAATCCTGTATTATGATGCAGAAACCAAGGTCAGTTTTCAAATGCTTAGTTATTTGTCTACCATAGGAATGTGCCAAATTTCATGTGATTTAAAAAAATTAAAATATATTAGATACACTCTAAAGCAGCACACTGTTATGAAAACAATGATAAAATCCCAGTATGTACATGTAATATTTGTCTAAACATGTGTTATTGCCTTATCATATCTTCCAGTTCTACTAAATAGTTCGGAAAACAACATTTTTAAGAGTACTACACACTAACACTTTCACAAAGAATAACTTTTACTATTCAGTAGTATTGTAAATAATATGCTGGAGAAAGAGCATTACATGTAATTAAATCTTAAAATATACATTTTATAAAATAAATTTTCATAATAATTTATCCAAATACATTTTGAGATAATATATTACAGAGAATTTCATATATTACTTAAATTTTTCTTGATACTTAAATAATTAGTCTTATAATGATATTGTCAAGAACTTTTGAGTAATATAAAGATATTTCACAAAATTAAATATGATGCTTTTCCTATTCCCCCTTTATTCTACTATTATCTTTCCATGTTCAAAGATGTAATTTTTTGACCATATTCAGCACTGACTACCATCATCCTTTTAATTTTTTTTTAACTTAGTAAAGTATGTCATCTCGTCTATGGATAATGTTATTTGCATCTTTCTTGGATTATTTTTTTGTTGTGAAGAGCATGTATCAATTACAGATAAACAACAATGGAAACATTTTTGTTCTTATCAACGACTTCAATCACACATTTCAGAAAGCAAGGAATCAAAATATGTGATCACTGTGCTAGGAATTATGGATGCCTGTTACCCTCAATATCCCATGAGTGAGATGAAATAGAGGATCTAAAAGATACTAACAGATATTCATGTGGGAATAACTCTAGTAGTGTTACCTAAAATTCTCACACACACACACACACACACACACACACACACTCACACACACACAAATATATATGATCTAAAAGGGATAATAAATGAATGACAGGTTATAAAATAATCCTTACATCATTTACAAAGAAAGATGTAGGTAAATAATATTCATTTGTGATTACAGAAGAACATGTTGGGTATAAAAAGCAATGGAAAACATGAAAAGATTTCTGTTTGATGACATTTACCAAAAATATTTTTTAAAAAAACATAAAAATCTACCTTAGAATTCACAGAGTATCATTCTTTCTTCTAATATAGTCATCTAAAATAATATCAATAAAATAATATCAATTAACATGAGGTTGAAATATGAAATAGGGCAAAATTCATGAAAATCAAAACAGTAAGAAATAAAAGTGATGAATAAATAAATGTAATGTGTTAAGCCTCAGAAGCCAGAAAATTTAGAAGATGAATTGTTAAGATGGGTCTGGTTTATAAACTTAGATTAATGTGAAGCATTGACACTACTGATGCCTTCTGAAAACAACAAATTCTATCAAGATATACTATCTATGGACACAATTAAAAATGTAGAAAAGATTAGGTGTGGTGGAACACACCTGTAATTCCAATGGCTCAGGAAGCGGGGGCAGGAGAATCATAAGATGTTCAAGGTAAATAATATTTCAGCCTCAGCAACTTAGTGAGGCCCTAGGCAACTCATTAAAACCCTGTCTTTAAATAAAAGTATTTAAAAAGGGCTGGGGATGTGGTTCATTGGTTAAGTGCCCCTGGGTTCAATACCTGGTACCCCAAAACAACAACAAAAATACAAAAAGCTGAAAGGCTAAAGGGAAAAATCAAAATTACTCTGGGACATAATATAGGAATTGGGAAAGAAAGGTATTATAGTTTTATATTTCAGGTACTATGACAAAGTATAATACATTCCAGAAATATCTAAAAAGCATGTTTTTAATCTTAAAGGCATTTTCAAGATATCCTTGAAAGCCAGGAAAAGTAATAATCCTAGGAGAAAACAATTATTTACAGAAATGAAACAATAGCTGGAAATGTTGGGATGGGGGTAGTATCAAAAAGACTTACTGAAAATAAAACAAATTGAGAAAGAAAACAGTAGAACTTTTAGAAATAAAAAATACATGTATTAAAATTGAAAACTCAACATATACGCGGATTAGGCATCTGATGAAAAGAAAATTGGTAACATCAATTGGGTACCCATAAGCACAGTCATCTAAAATGACTTAAAAATAATAAGTTGAGAGACACACAGGTAGGGATACCTTTAAAAGCCCAATAGACGGTCCAAACATAGATCACTCAGGTACTAGAAAAGAAGCATACTTAAGGACTTCATGTTCAACTAAGTAAACCAGACCCAAACAAACAAACAAAAAAGGATGAGTATCGTTATGTTCCCTCTAATATAAGGAAGATTAAAAAGAAAGGAAAAAATAAATAAAAGTTGACCTGAAAGTAGAAATAGTGTGTGTTGGCAAGAGCATACAAGGGTGGGCGTGGGGTTGGGGGGAGGCATGAGGGTAGAAGAAGGGTGGATGGATATGATTAATATACACTGTATGCATGTATGGACAAACCACAACAAATCCCACTAATATCTATGTGTCAATTAATAAGTATACATTTAAAAATAAGCATTTGAAAAGTAAATGTTGAGAATTTTTCAGAATTACAGAAAGACAAACATCATCAGATCAAGGAGGCTCAACAAATGCCAAACTTGATAAGTAAAAAAAACAAACCTAGTGTCTTCTAAAACACCAAGCACTGGGGAGGTAAAACAGAAACAAGCATTGTTGAGGCAAGAGTAAAGCAGTACAAATACACAACAGTTGACACAACAGGGGATGACACACAGTATGTCACAAATACCAACTCAACTAGTATAGCTCAAAAGCAGCCCTAGACAATATGTAAGCAAATGCCCTGTTAATATTTCAATAAAACTTTGTTTATAAAATAGGCAATAGAACAGGTTTAGCATGAACATCACCTAAGTGTCAACTACACCTTGAATGAATGGAGTGTAACATTCCAAGAATGTAAATCCTGTATTGCAATGGAGATGATAATCCTATACCTGAATGAATTAACATGGTCTGGGATTTTTAAGATTCCAAATCAAACATGTTTAGGAACATGTATATAATTAGTAAAACTACCCCAAAAAAGTGCTTAACTGAACATCATGATAAGGTTACTTCTCACAGGAAAAGGGATAAAATTGGAGAGGAACATATTTAAGCCTCTAAAGTAGAGGCAATGTTTTCTTTTAACTATGGATGTTTTGTTTATTATTAAATTGTATCATATATTTTATGAATCTCTCATGTGTAACATATATATCCTAATGATATAAAATAATTTTAAATGAATAGGAATTTTTTTAGAAATATGATAATGTGAGATAAAGGATTAATTTTACCCAGCTAAGGTCTGCCTGACCTTATTGCCTATAAAAATGAGGTACTCTCTAAACACTGGAACATCCTGCCTGATGTTCTTTAATACCTGGAGATACTGGGCCAAACTACATAATCTATGGTCACAATCTGATTTCTAGTGTGGGTTTTGAGCCTCAAACTTTTAGCTCTTCTTGTACAGAGGTTAGAAATTGGGGTCATTAATACAGGAGTTCAACTATGACCAAGTCTCTGTAAAAACCCTAACCACGAAGGGAGCTTCCCTGCTTCACAATACTCTGAGCATTGTCATACGTCATTGCCGGCAGAAGTCAGAAATGACCACAACTCCATTGAGAGAGAGACCAAACCTTCACATTTAGAACTCTTCTGGACTCCGCCCCTGCACCTTTCTTTCCCTGACTGATATTAATCTACCATTTTGCTAAAATAACAATGAGTGAAAAAAATTAAGTTCTGTACATAATTTTAATTACTAATGAAACCTGAAAGTGTTCTTGAACCTCTATAAAGGGGTCAGAAGTGAGTGTGGTATTGGTGGACCTATTAACTTCACAGTTGTTTAATCAGTAACGTTAATAGGTTCACCAGTACCTGTGAAGTTAGTGGTTCTCACATAATGAAGTAAGTAAATACCAAAAAGGATGAGTAAAACATGTAAATAATACACTATACATCATAGTAACAAATAAAACACAAATATATATATAAAAATAAAACATTAGGAAAATTTGCTTTGCAAATTAAAATAGCTTATTCTTTTTATTTTCTCCTATATTTGTCATTTGTCCACAACTTTCAAGTTTCTATAATTAAAACATAATACCCTATTAATATATTAATAAAGATCAAAATAAGGTTTTAATAGTTTATTAATTAATTGATTGTCTTTTGGAAACCAATTGCTGTAATAACTATTGGGGGGGATGCCTAAGAGACAATTTGAAAGACAAGTATAGACTTTATTTTTTAAAAAACTTAAAAGTTACTGAGAATAACATAAGAGATACTCAGTTAAAACTTCCAAAAGGCCCATTAAAATGAATCTTTCTACTAACATACATCTTATCCTTCAAAATGTGATTATATAGATCCCAGTAGGAAGCTTTGGGTTCAGTTAAGAAGTGTAAAGTGTGCAGATTTGAGAACCAGTCATGCTTGTTTTCTGTGAAGAAATTTATAAATATTTAAACCTTTACATTAATTTGTAGATTCCAGGGTTTCTCCCATTACAACTCTTAAATTCACTCAAGGAAAAAAAAATCTGGTTAACCTCATGAATCTTATAAAACTCCTGAGACTTCTCTTGATCCTGGAATTTTATCACTAATGATGAGCCCAGAATTTTTGCCAAAATGTTTGTGAACTGAAAATATAGGAAACCTAACCTATCTTTAAATAAAGTAGACAAATAAATGAGTAACTAATAGATTCTTTCCTCAAAATTCTCAAAAATTTTTCAGTTAGGAGAAATCTAAGAGAACTTATCTAGTACTGACCCATTATTTTTCTCTTCTATAAAATTTAGAAGTAAATCTCTCCATTTTAGTATATTACTATTACTGACCACAGCTTTACTCCAAGTTGCCTCATTCTAAAACAGTACCACTATCAACACTATCTCTGCTCAGAATTTATCATCTTAAGACTGAATTTTACAGACAAAACCCAGCTGTGAATCCAACTGTAATTACAGAAAAGATTATAGGCTGCCAAAGTTTCATGAAGCTTCAATCATAACACTTTTTCCTACAATCTGAGAAGGCAAGAATAATCCTATAATGGATTCTCATCAGACATGATATAAATTCTGGATCTTTTGATATTGTACTTTGTAACTTGTTTGTCAATTAAACAAATGGGATATATATCCTCTGGCTAAAGCATATTACAAACAGGATGCTTCTCTATAAGAATGTGATTTTGTAATCTGAAAGCAGGAATAAATAAAACTATACCTATTTAAACATTTTCAAAATGAGCAACCTTATTCAAGTCACCTAAATGCAAAACCCTCCAGATTTTCCACCTATAATATCAATGCTAATACCTACCTGGAAGAGTTAGTCAATAGTTATTAGTATATGCTATTAACTATCTAGCACATCTTATTTAGCACATGCTATATAATGTATAATAATGAATAACCTTGCCCAACAAGTGAACTGAAATAAATATTTAAGCTAAGTCATCCTGGCTGATCTACTCAGAAAGTACAGTTTTCAAAATGATATTTCTTCGGGAACCATGAAAAAGTTACTTAAAGTCAAGACTAGCAATGTGTAATGCAGACCATGGATATTTTTCAAAACAAAACACCTGTTTCTGATCTCTGAGTTAGAACTTTTGGACATTACTATGTTCTAGGGGTACAAGGGGGGATGGTGGGAGGTCCTGGAATGATTGTATCATGTAATAACTCCCAAATTTTCAGGGAACTAATAAGCAAATACACACACACACACACACACACACACAAATATTTTCCATTGAAACTATGTGTCTATCACACACAAGAGAGGCAGAGCTGTATTAATTATGATCCTCTTTTCAGGATGGTGAACAGCACTTTGACTGCCATTCTGGGTGCCAGAGGAAAGAGATTCACTGAAGTGGTCATCACCAATCAAATGTTTCTACCCAAAATTGATGTCACCTCACTTATATTTTGATTGACCCAAATGTGCCACATGTTGGTACTTAACATGGAAGAGGCAGGGATGAGCAATTTGTGCTCAAAATGAGAATAAAATATTGTGTGACAGCATTAATACTTTCACACTGTTTTGTGTGGGTGGTAGTCCAGCCTATACTATAGAAAAGTGATTACCCTCTCTCATGGGAAGGATAAGGGGAGTCATTTCTAAAACCTTCATAAAAAGGAATGTCAATCATATCTTCTTCATATATTACCTCTTATACAACTCTGTTTAATCAATAGTCTGAATCTTTATCCTCTCACTGAAAAACTGTTTTCTTCCAATATTACTAAAAACTCACTTGAGGCATGAATAATTAATAGGTGGACTAAAAGTCATGTTTACTTGCTTCATCCCACTATATTCTCCACATTATATCCCTCATATACTATAAGAAAGTAATGGTCATATTATCTCAGGTCCAAGCAGAACTATCCTTGGTATGTTTAAGATCCAATTACAAATGAGTTAGGAGCAAAACTATTTAGCTTCTTTTCTCACAGTAATTCAGTCAGGAATACAATTCAAAACTAACTATTTAGCTCCTGTAACAGTAATTAAATCAAAAATATTTCCAGTCAGTACTTTTGAAGAAATGGTATGAACTGCTCAGATGGGATAATGAAATTCATTTTATCATCATCCCTATTTCCATTAATATTCTAAATTCCTTCATGTGTGATCAAGTATCACAAATAATAGATTCAGAAGAATATAACAGAAATGATATACTACCAATTTTTTTAAAAAAATATGTTATTACTTGAATTCCTTGTTTTTATTTTTATACTCAAAAATGGGACTTGAAATTATAACTCTCTTTTCAATTATGGAAGATAGAAAATAGGAAAATGATTTAGGATGAAATCCTAACACACTAGTCTTTTGAAGAATTTAATCTCATAATTTGCAGAAGGAAGTGTTATCTTTGAAATTAAGCAAATATTAGAATTAAAACAACAGAAAATGAAAAAGAAGTCATAAAATGAAATAAAAACACTATTTGTATGTGTTTTGATAATAGTATTAAAAGTTTATACTTACAAAGGTTCTGAGCAATTTTAGAATCTAGAAATTTAAGTTCTTTAATCTTTTTCTTAATAGCTTTCTTCTCTTCAAAATCTTCTTCATCTCTTTTCTCTGTAAAACCAAGAACAGATCTATGTTAGGGGAAGTAAAGACACTGAAGTGCAAAAGAACAAAAAATAAACTTTCATCAAAAAAGCTTTAAAAAAAAACAAAAACTTCTAAATCAGTTAAAAAAGTACGTATTCCAAGACTCAAACTGTTTCAGATAAGCACTGGTGACTCTACCAGAGAAACTATTAAGAGTTAATATTTGAAGGAAAAAACAAAACTAATACACACTATGAAAACTAATAAAATTATGCATAAGTATACAATATATAGCACACAATTACAAAAATCAATATATATAGGATTTGAATGTATTAAGAACTTAGCACAAAGAGTGCTAAAATAAATCATATAGCTGTTGTTGTTGTTGTTATTGTTTTGGGGTACTGTGGTTTAAACTCAGGAGCAATCAACCACTGAGCCAACTCCCCAGACTCATTTTGAATTTTATTTAGAGACAAGGTCTCACTGAGTTGCTTAGCGCCTCATTTTTGCTGAGGATGGCTTTGAACTTGTGATACACCTATATCAGCCTCCGCAGCCACTGGGTTAACAGGGGTGCACCACCACACCCGGCTCTTATATCTGTTTTATGTTTGATATATCACATTTATTTAAGAATACACCTCCAATAAAATTGCATTATTATTTAGAAATTGTTTTTTAAATCTAAAAAGTCAAAATTTGACGCTTGCTGATTTTACCTCAGTGTTCTAAAGATTAAGAAACAAATTTAACTACTTTATCCTTAACAGAAATATACAATAAACACATTATGCTATACAACAATATAAAAACATGTGGCTATCATAAGGCATATGATGGTCAAGATTAACAACTACAACTAAGGTGGTCCAATCACCTTTTTACTCTCTGTGTCTACAAACAACACTTCTCAAAGTATGTTATCTTAAAAAATTAGGATCATAGTAACACAGAACAGGGGAGGAAATTGCTTAGAGAGACAAACACGCGCACGCGCGTGCAAGCACACACACACACACACACACACACACACACACACACACACAGATCACCAATAATAGGGGGAAATAACCTTAAAAAGCAAATAGAATTGGTAATTGGTTACAAGAACTTCATAAGATGTAAGTACACAAGATTGGTAATTGGTTACGAGATCTTCATATAATGTATAAGTTGGCAATTATAATTCCATTATTTTTACATCAGAAAGAGGTGTATTTTAATTATGTGTTTTGAACTTACTGTAAGACAACAATCCAATTTTCTGTTTTACAAAATATTTATTAACTATTTCTGCATTGTTTTATAAATAACCTTCTTTCACAAAAAAATTTAAATTATTCTTTTATAAATTGCATGTTGCTATAATAGGTCTGTTTTTCTGGGTTTGAATTCTGTTCCACTGTTCTACATGCTACTCCTATGCTCTGTTACTGTCTTAAGTGCTAAAGTCTTATATTTTATTAATTGACCATTCAAATCATCTATCCTCCTTTTCTAAATTTTTATCACTTTTCTTTCTTTATTTTATTTTTATTATACATATTATATATAATATATATATTTTTTTCCTTTTTCTTTTTTTTTTTTTCTGGTGGTGGTGCTAAGTATGGAACCCAGAGCCTTGTACTTGCTAGGCAAGTGTTCTACCACTAAACCACATCACTAGCCCACAATTTTCTCTCTTTTTATTGTTTCACAGAAGTAATGAGAAGTTCCAGAAAGAAAATCCATTTGAACTATATTTAGAGCACTGAAGAGCCAGTGAAGATTCATACATCTTGCAAGATAAATCAGAAGAATTGTATTTAAAGACGAACTCGAAGTACTGAGGTTAGATTGAAAAAATAGCAAAAATAATGACAGAGGAGAAAACAAATGAGAGGAACTGATAACCTCATCAGGAATCACATGAGTTCTAAAAGTAGAATATACAATGGGAACCAGTCAAATAAGTGGTCCAACTCATATCTGTCTTCTGAATTCTAGACTTGACTATCTACCTCTGTACTTTCAACATCTTCATTTGGATATCTAATGGATGCCTCAGCTTACCATATTTGAAAACCACACTCCTGGCATATTCTCTCTCATCTCCACATCTCCTTTTCTACATTTCCTCAGGAGGTGGGTATTCTGTTAATGCAGCTGCACAAGCCGAAGAGTTTATACTTCAACTATTTCTCTATCAACCATATCCAAGTCCATCAATGAATCCAGTTGACTCTAATCCCTAAATAGCTACCAAACTAATTTCTCCTCACCACCTCACTAATTACTATTATTCCCCTTCTTGGGAATACCTGTGTGGGAGACCAACCTTGCACATGACTGAGTCACACTCCCTGGCTGGGTGCGGAGGCCCTCAGTCACAGAAATGTGGCAGAGCTTTCCCCACCCTTCTTGGGTTCCAGGGTCGGTGTCTTGTTCATGGGTGTGTTTTGCTACAGCCCTATGGGTGAAGCTATGCTCACCTGTTCCTTTGTAATATAACCCGTTGCCCTGTTTAGGATAGAATCTTCCATGGAAGTGCCTTGTGTGTGTCCCCTTCTCTTTCTGTGCCCTTGGGTGTGGCTTACCCAGGTGTCAGTCAACCTGTTGACAGTGGACATCATGAAGATAGACTCAGCCCCCAGAAACCTGACCCCTTGCCTCATTTGAATAGCTTCTACTCAATAAAAGAGGTCAGTGCATGCTCCATCTCTCTCTTCCTGCGCACCCTTAAGGTCAGAGGGGCCATCAGAGTGACCTCAAAGAAAAAGGTATTTGTGTCTCTTGTGTGGTTATTTTGTGCAGCCCAGTCAGCCCAGTTCAACTGGAGTAAACCCTGAGCTTTTTAGTCGTGAGAACAGAAACCTGGCATACCTGGTTCCCAGCTGTTTCCTAACTAATATCTCCACTTCCAGGCATAACAAATTACAGTCTCTTTACCATAATGCAGCAGAAAAATACTCTTAAAACTTGCTGGCAAAGTCTACTTTTACTACAAGCCCCTCACTCAGCACTCACCATTATTACTCTGTATTTTCTCCTCCAAAGTTCTTTCTTAGCATATGTCATAAATTTGATAATGTCTTTTTTTCCTCCATTAGAAAGTAAAAATCTTAGAGGCATAAACTTTGTTTATCACAGTATTCCTATTAGCGACAGAAAGGACAGGAATCTGTACACTAAATGTCATTCATGTGGATTATCAGTTGTATGTAGGTAAGCAGGAATCTGCAGAATAAAGGAGGAAACTCAGGCTTAAGCAACCAGGTAAATGATGGTATGGTTTGTTTAATTTATGAACAAATGATGACCACATTTGAAATAGCCCAATTTTAAATATGTGCAGTTTTAGAAGCTCATCTATATCCACCTGAAAATGTACAAGAGGCAACAGGATACAGATAAGGAGAAAAGAAATCCAAACTGGAGATACAGGCATCATTCTTAATAGTTACTCCATTGACAGTTAAGGTCCCATGGGTACCATATAATACACATGTAACTCCTTCTCCCCAATATAGAAATTTTTATATTTCTATATTAGTTGAAATATTCAGAAAAAAAATAATAACAATACTAGTTCATTTCCTTAATATGACCAAATAACAACATGCTACTCTTTAGAAAATATATGTAGTTTTTCTCATCAATTATCAAGAAGGTAGAATCTAATTTTTAATTGAATTTGATTTTTTTCCCATCATCATCAGTATCCCTCCTTCACATTCTGAAGCATTTTCTAGTCTAACAAAAGAAAATAGTCTTAAATTTTAAATACCATTTACTGAACACCTACTAAGTACTGTACTCACAATTTCTGCTTTGGTTCATTATAATTCTTGTAATCAGTTCATTTTATAATTCTTGTAATCATCATCCTACTACTATGACTGTTAGCAACATATCTCTCATGAGGAAAAAAAATGCTAAGGGTAATTTTGAGCAGCAGATCTCATAAAAGAATGAAGATTACCTGACTTAACTCTGGATATATTTTACTAGTTATAAAGGATCCTGTGTCACATTAAAAAAAAAGTTTATAAGCAACCCTGACCAGTTCAACTTCCAAACCAGAGTCCGAAGTAATTTTTACCAATTCTGTCTTTTTAATAAAAAAAAAAATGATGATTTAGACTCATTGAGTTTACCATATCAGCACATTCATGATGTAATAAATGTGTGATTTTCTTCTGTCTTTACTGTTGAGAGTTGTGTGTGAACCAAATTTACATAAAAATCCATTGAATAGGAAAATTTGATATTTGGGAACTTCCAGTGAAAATCACACTGGTTAAGAGTGCCCAGATACATGTGAATTTCTATTCAGCTCTTCCAGGTACCACATAGCACCTGAGATGGGGTGATCTGCTGTAGCCACACAGCCTCTCAGAGATGGGTGTAGCATGCCAAGATGTCAACTTTAGGAAGCAAGACTCCACCCCCTGAAACCTTATCCTGCCTTTGATCCACCTGAGGCATTTTTTTTTTTAACTGCTCTAGTGCATCTCCTACCAGGACTAGACAATCTATCAGGTGTTCTGCTTTAAAGCCTATTCTGGCTCTTTTATTTCTTTATTAATTATTTCATACTGTATTTTTTCAGGTGGTTTATACCCTCTGGGCAAGAAAAATGACCCCGAGAGCCACTGGAAGCCTTGCGATACTTTACTACTTTACAAAGAACAGAATGTAAAGAGTGAGAATGTGGGCAAAGGGGTAGGAAGAAATAGAGTTTACTAACAAAGAAAACAACAGGAATCAATAAACCAAGACTAAAAAATGTTTATGTTAATATAATACCAGATAATGAATCAGTTATCCAAATAGACTTGAAGTTGTAGGAGAGGGATCTTTCATATAGAAAATTTAGCCAAAAAAATTCATCCACATAATAGACTGCCTCAAATGAATGAAAAACAAGGAAAAGCGTTTATGCAAAAGCAGAATTTAAATGTTGGCAACCATTATGGTTTGAGTGTGTATCCAGGAATTCACGTGTTTGTAGTTAGTTGGGGATGTTAAGAGGT